AAATGTTCGTTATTATAATTTGATGGTGCATCAGAATTTCCAAGACCAAAAGGCCAGTCGATGAAACAAATTAATCCATCGCAGAAGATGTATGAAAGTATTGATATTTTTTTAAACAATTGCATCCAAAATTAGGTATCGAAGTAAGAGTTGATGCAAAATTTGTAAGTTTCAAAGATACCATCAACATTTGCATGTTTTGTTTTTAGAATTTGCATCCACAATACAAGTTTTCACCAAGTTTTTTTTACAAATTTAATACAGAAGTAGACAAGTTTGTCCAGGCAACAATGTGAATTTTAGAAATTACATCCAAAATTAATTGAATCCAATACAATTGATGTCCAATTATGATAATCATGATGTCCAAAAATATTTTTAAATCATAGGATGATAATTCATATTTTTGTAATGGTTTTTCATGATTTAAAGTTGTTTTTTTAATTGAAGTGATTTGTTCGATGAATAATCCAATAATGAGAATTTTTGTCCAAAATCCAGAATTAAATGATGAATTGATGATGAAATTATGATTGAAGAACAAATTTTTCAATATAAATAATATTTACAGGATTTATGTTCAAAATTGCATTAAAAATGAGTTGGATCAAAGTTCCATTCAAGTTGGTTTTCAATTTTAATGATCATGATGTCCAAAATCATTTTTAAATTGTGTTATGACGATGATTCCAAAATTTTGGACAAATTTGATGTTTTTCCAATGTTTTTTTCATGATTTTACGTTGATTTTTTGTATTGATCCATGAATAGTTGTCCAAAATTTGAATTGTTTAATGATTTTTCATTATTTGTGATGATGTACAATGATTTGTTTGATGAATGATTCAATAATTAAGTAGATATGTCCAAAATCCAGAGAGATATCCAGAATTCCATGAAAAATTAATTTGATCAATGTTTTAATAAAGTTGATGTCCAATTTTAATGATCATGATGTTCAAAATCATTTTTAAAGTAATGAAAATGATTCCAAAGTTTTGAACGAATTTTATATTTTTGCAATGAATTTTTATGATTTGTGATAAATTCAATGATTTTGTGATTGATACATGAATGAATAGTTCAGTAATTTAGAAAAATGTCCAAAATCCAAGATGATAAAAGATAGTTCATGAATCAAATTTTGTTGATACAAGTTATTTGATCGATATTTTATCCAGCAGATCCATTTTTTTTCAGAAAGTTATCAGGATTTTGTGCAAAGTCCAGAATAAATTTTATGATACATTTCGTGTCATTGTTTTAAATTATTTTCAGGTGATACAATAAAATTGATGTCAAAATCATATCATGATGATTATTCCAAATTTTTGGACAAAATTTGTACATTTTAGCAATGATTTTTCATGATTTGCAATGATGTCCAATGATGTTTCGATGATTTACAGGAAAATTAATCCAATATTGACGACATGAGTGAAATATAATTGATACAAGTCATTTTAATCAATATTTTATCGAGGAAATCCATTTTTTACCAGAAAATTTTCAAGATTTTTTTCCAAAATCCAATGAAAACAAATTGATCCAGATCATGCCATTGTTTTAAACAATTTGCAGGAATTCCAGTAATATCAATGCAGAAATAAATAATTATGATGTCCAAATGATGAAACAATGTTGATCCCAAAATTTTGGACAAAATTTATATATTTGCAATGATTTTTCAATGTGTGATCCAATAAATAGGAAAATTTATCCAAAAGTGATGCCAAGAATCATCACAAGTTAATTTTTGTCATTAGAATATCAATATGTTATCCAGGATCCAACAATATTGAATTAGAAAATATCCAAATTATGATGTCCATAACCATTTTTAGGTCAAAAAATGATGGTGATGTCAAAGTTTTGGACAAAATTTATATTTTGGTGATGGTTTATCATGATTTTCGATGATGTTCAATGATTTTATGATTGATCCATGAACGTACGATCCAATAATTTCAAAAATCCAGAATAAAAAGATGAATTGATGAAAAATAGTCCAAATCCAAGAAAATGTCCAAAATACTCGTATTTGCACCAAGTTGATTTTCATTAATAATTCAGCAGACGATCCAGTTGTTATCCAAAATCCAACAAAATTTAATGACGAAGAAATAAAATTATCCATCCAATTATCCATTATTATTCAAAATTCCAATCCAAGACGTCCAGAATCCAAATTCGACATTTCGATGATGATAAAATGATTTGTCCATGATGATTTTTCGTGGTGACAATTAGTGGTTGTGGTTGTGGTGGTGTATGAAATAGTGATTGAAAAAATAAAAAAAATACAATGAGTAAATTATATAAAATATTATATATGTTAGACTAATCTACTAAACATGCATTTGCAAAAATCTAACGACGTCTCAACCTGTATATAAAATCAAACGAAAAAAAAACACAGAAGAACAAAATTTCTAATAAAAATACATTTATTCATAATGACATCAAAAATATTTATATATCTATATATCTATATATAGTTGTCGAGAAAAACATCAGCAGCAATTTAATTTTTGCCTTAGTCTAAAAAATATATATCTTTATAATCCAAAATTTATTTTTTCATCTATCGACCTACAGCTAAGCTTCGTTGAAATTGATATTTTACAAACAGAAACAAAATAAATAAAAATTGGAATTAAATGCAAAAGGTTAAAGATATTTATAATATACATAGTTAGAGAGTTTGACACAATTTTTAGAACGTTTTTTTTTTGCAAATATATCGATAAATGCATCGAAACAACCTTGGGCTTGGATTGTAATTGAAAAATTTGTAAATAATATGAGATGTGGCAATAATATATATATATATATATATATATATATATAGATATGTATATATAATTTGCTTGAGCAAAATTGGCAGTCGATTCACGAAGTTTCAAACTTTAACTGATTCAAATAAAAAAAGTTGAATCAAATCAGTTCGAGTCAGGCTATATTTGGACAAATAAAAGCTTATACAGAAAAAATTCATATTAATTTATTTATCAAGTAAAATTCAAACAAAATTGAATCAACTCGAATCATAAATCGAATCGATTCGAATCTTAAATTGAATCGATTCGAATCATAAATCGAATAGATTCGAATCAAGTTAAATTAAAAAGACCCATTGATATATTTATATTTAAAATAAAAAGAAATTTTATTCGAAACAAAAATCAATTTGAATTAAAATTGGAATTAATTGGAATCAAGCTTATTTATACACAAGTACAAGCCAAGACAAAAAATATACATTTATTTATGAAATAAAACAAATTATATTTAATTCGAATCATAAATCGAATCACTTCGAATCGTGAATCGATTCGATTCGAATAACGTTTATATAAAGACAAAAACCAGACAAGAAAATAGCAAAACCGATTTTTTTAGTTCGTATAATAAAAAAAACAATAGACACTAGTCATAAATCGAATAAATTCAGATTATAAATTGAATCAATTTGAATGATAAATCTAATCTATTCGAATCAAACTTATATGTGAATTTCAATGCATTACAAATAATATTAAAAACATTTAATTTAAAAAACTCATGACATAAATTTTCAAATTAATGCAATAAAAACGCCTATCGTAACTTTTCCTGACACAAAGAAATCGAATCGAAAAAACTTTCATTGAAATCATAATTCAAATTAAAAACAATTCCAATCCAAGTTATATATAAAATGATATCAGCAAAGACAAGAAAACAATATTTATTTATTTGTGAACAAATTCGAATCAAAATTGAATCGATTCGAATCTTACATCAACAAATTATGGGCAAATATAAGCTGAGATAAAAAAAATCAATGCCGATTTATTCATTCAACAAGATTCAAAAGCATTATTCAAATTATTTGTTCAATTTATAAAACGAATCAATCAAATTATAAAACAAATTGTTTCGAATAAAATTCATGTATCAATTGAATTATTTTACAAAATTAATTAAGAAAGTTTTAAGGAGGCAGTTGAAATATATTTTAAAACAATTTTCATAATAAACATCGATTCAAATAATCCCATTGACTATAATAGATAAAAAGTTTATTCAAATTCAAATTCAAATTCAAAGTCGGATCTATCAATTAATCAAATCGTATACATAGACTAGCAAATATTTAAGGTTTATATTTAGAAAAGATTTCAAATTAAAAGATTCAAATCAAACGGGTATAATGACATATATTAATTTAATCAAATTTTTAAAATTCAAATTTATATTCTGTTGTTTTGTAAATTTAAATATATATTATGTACATTCTTAATTGAAATATAAAATAAAATTAATATAAAAAATCGTTTTTATATTTACAGCAAATTCTATTAAAATTTTAAGTAACATCAAAGACACCTACACGTTAATTTAGTAATTTAGAAACGTAACAAAAACAAAACCGTTACGTTTTCGCGCGATTTGGAAACGTAACAAAAACGAAACGTAACAGCCCGTTACGTTTTTGAGGCGGAAATAGAAACGTCTGTGTGCCTCCAAGGTTACGTAACCGTTATGTTTGACGTAACATCCGTTACGTTATATTAACGTTTTAATTACGTTTTGTAGTTTACTGGGATACGAGCAAAGAAAAAAACTTCAATACCAATGTATTGTGACAAAAATTTATTATACAAAAAATTGTAAAGCGATTCAAACTTTTATAAAGACTAAAAAAAGTGATAAAACCTTGATTCAATACATGATTCGAATCAAACTTATCAGAAATTATTAATTAGATCGACCTGACAAAAAAATCGAATAAAAGTCGATGTTCATTTCTGTTCGAAGTTAAAGTTCGACATAGCCAAAAGTTGCTCACCCAAAATCTCATATCATTTCCTATCATCCAAGCCCAACCACCACCACCACTTTCCTCTCACTTTCCTCTCTCTGTCCCTACATCATATGAATCTAATATCCGCGCCTCCTACCATAATTTCCGCGGCCATAAATGCTCGTCATCGATCCCATAGCCCTGTACTTACGTTCGACTCTCAGTTCGACGTATTCCCTCTGCAATTTACCATCGCGGTCGGTCAAAGAGCACCAGTAGCGTCCGGCGTCGTGGGGCTGCACGTTCGACATTCGCAGAGTCACCCCCTGGACTTCGCTTCCGCGTGGCAGGTGACGGGAACCCTCGCGATCCCAACGGACCTGGAGTGGTAAAGGATACAGGGTAAGTATAAAAGTATTGTAAAGCTTATTAAAATACTTATTAAATTGTTAAAAAATACTTACAACAAACAAACTAGTTACATTTAAAAATAATTAAAATTAACTAAATATAAATAAGTTTATAGTAAATAAATTAAATAATGAATGAATAAGTAATAAAATAGCTAATAGTTAATTAAATTATATTAAATCTGCAAAATATTGACTTAAGCCTTATTATAATATTATTATACCGACGGCTTGTAAAATTGATAAATAAATATATTGGTAATAGTGCAGTAAACGGAGAGAAAAAAAGGGTATAACCTCTGAATTTTTTTTACTGTGCTCCGAATAGCATGAAAACAATTCGAATTGCGACCACTTAATAAATAGGTGGACTTTGAGCTGTTTTATTGCTAGTACACGTTTTTATAGGATATAATTAAAAAATAACATTTTTTAATACATTTACCTTGCAATAAAATCATTTTCAACCCCGTGAAAACCCTAAAATCCATGAAATAACCTCTAAATTGAAATAGTTGGTATTGGTATTTAGCCTCGAGGCAAGTTACATGAACTTCCCGATATGTGTAAATAATCGACTTAATCAATAAAAAATAAATTAATTTATGAGTGATTAAAAGTATTCCGAATGGATTTATTACACAAAATTTAACACGAATGTACACGTCAACTCGGAGTATTTTCAAAAAGCAATTTTTCAAAAATCAAAAATTATTATATTTGAACCAGTTTCCATAGGACTTTAATGGCTCTGTATGTTCATTAAAACCAAGTACTCTATCGTTATACCAAGTAAGTCGTCTATTTTTAGTTTTAACAAACGTCAAAAAAACTACTCATTCTCTCAAACTTTGATGAATTTTTAAAGTTAAACTACTTGTCGTAAGGGCGTAATATTTCAATAAGTTGTATAAGACATTGATATATACCGCCAAAAAAAGTTCCATAAAAATCGGCTTCAATTTTTTTTCAACAATTAATTACAAGAAAACGGCTCGGTAGATTTTCACCTAAAACTAATCAGTACCATTCCCAACTAATATCTTTCGAACAGTTTTTGATTTTTTAAAATCGGTTCGGTAGGATGAGCTTAAATGTGGATAAAAAATTTAGCACTTTTTCTCAAATTACAAAGAAACGGCTCAGCAATATCAAATAATTAGATATTGTACAGTGGGCCAGTTCGTATTTTAATGACTAGACATATTACAGTGGGCCAATTTGTAATTTAATAACTAGTTATAGTACAGTGGTTTAATTTGGGTTTTTTTGGACGTATATAGTACAGTGGGCCAAGTCGTCTTTGACTAGATATAACACTGTTATTTAAATCGTGTCATATCACATATAGTACAGTGGCCCAATTCGCATTTAACTAGATAAAGTACAGTGAAATTGTACATATTTATATAAAATTACGTTTAATGCAGCAAAAGTGCTTCTAGTTTTATACTATTTATAGTACAGTGGGCCGATTTGTATTTAAATAACTAGATATAGTGGAGTGGGCCAGTTTGTATTTAAATAACTAGTTGTGGTACAGTTTGTTAATTTGGATTTAATTGGATATTTACGGTACTTTGGGCTCAGCAGATCGTCTCACAAAACTGACAAGCGATAGTCCTTGAGATACATCAAATGGCTTTTAAATTTCTGAAATCGGTTCAGGCGTTTTTGAGCAAACGTCGATGAAAGTTACAATTTTGACAAACGTCAAAAAAACGACACTAATTTTTGCAAACTTTGACGATTTTTTTAAAATTAAACGACTTGTCGTAGGGCCGCAATATTTAAGTATGATCTAGAAGACTATGGTATCCACCGTCAAAAAAAAAATAATAAAAATCGACCCTGCCGATCTCGACCAAAAACTAATCAGCACGATTCCCAACCAATATCTTTCTAACAGTTTTTGAATTTTTAAAATCGGTTTAGAATTGCGGGCTAAAACGTGGTGAAAAATTTTTCACTTTTCTGCTATTCATAAAGAAACGGCTTGGCCGATCGTTGCACAAAACTGACAAACAATAGTCCTCATCGAGATACATCGAATGGCTTTTAAATTTTTGAAATCGGTCCAGCCGTTTTTGAGAAAACGTCGATTTCAGGCAAAAAAAATCTGTTCACGCACACACACACAAACACATACTTTTCCCAAATTTGGTCTCATTCGATTGAGAATGGCTTAAAACGTCGAGAAAACATAAAATTGGCAATTCGTATTTTTTTATGAAAACAAACTTCTCCTTCGGAAAGTTAATAAGTTCGATTTGTAAAAAAAGACTTTATAAAATCGTGAGTTTTTTGAAAATAGTTTGTACTAAAAATAAGGTAGTGAATCTGCTAGAATCCATCAAGATGTCTATAATGAAGTGAATTCTAGATGGAATGTGAATTACATTAATTCTGGTGGAAATGGCGCTCATTAAACTATATGATTTAAAAGAAAATCATGCTTCTTATTTGCATAATAGCTCACTTATTTTACACGCAAAAAACTTGTAACAGCACTCATTATGTTGAGAACTATAAAACCCAATTTCACCGAAATGCATAAAATGTAAAACCTCGCCACTAGTTGGATTTAAATACAACAATTAAATCTTGAACGAAATAAAAAACGACTTTGCTCTTTCAAATCTTGCTTAATATTATTCCTAGAACACTTTATGAAACACCGATTTATTAAGACTTTTATTGACATTATTTTGTTCATTACATGATTTTCGTTAAAATGTATATTTTAGGAGATATTTGCAAAAAAACGAAGAAAAACGCGAAAAATATATGAATTTTTAGTGACCAGTACCTTGAAAAGTATTAGTTTTCTTGAAAAACTATAACAGACATTTTTTGCTTATAATTAGTTCTTCTATCGATTTCCGACGTTATTTTGAAAAAAAATGTAATTACACAGTTGAGAAGGGGTGTCATCCGAAGTGTTTTCACTTTTGAACTTGAGGGTAAGATGAATCTAATTCCAAAATTTCATGCAATTCGGAGCACAGTAAAAAATTCAGAGGTTATACCCTTTTTTCTTCTCCGTTTACTGCACTAATAAGTAAATAAAATTATAGATAAAGTTACATTTTGCATTAGTAAGATTATGAGATAAGTGATCGAAATGAGGAACATTGAAATCACCAATAATTAATACATTTTTGTTAGAAACATAAGATTCTAGTAGATCAAGTTAAGCTTCAAAATTCTCAATAGATGCATCAGGAGAAACGTAAACGGTCAATACTAATATGTTTGAATTCTTGAGGATACACTTGCAGCCAATAATATCAATCATTGGAAGGGACATAATAGTTACATATTTATTGTATATTTACATTTGGTGTGTGATCGTATGATGTGGCAGCTGGTAGTTCGCATCTTAATTCTACATTAGAGTTTACGTAGGCTGTTTGGGTTCTGGTGCCTCCTGGGAAGTACCCAGCGACGTCGTTGGGGCCTCCAGGGTATCCTGGGTGTGGTGCAGGAGCTGCACTATCTGTAAATGGAAGAAACAAATGTGAGCACATCAGGATGTTTAGATTAGATGAAATTTGTGATATTTACCTTGTACAATAACTACAGCAGTGCTTTGGGCTTCGGATCCACGAGCATCTCTGCCAATACAGGCGTAGCTGCCGGCGTCATGCAACTCGATTCTGTTGAACTGCAAGTATCCTTCTCTGGTGATAACAGATCTAGAATAGAAATATTTTTTTTACAAACAGGAGCCTTGAAACACTTTTGGTATAAGATTGGAAATGTCAAATCAGTTGGTCTTACTAACTTTGCTAATTAACTTCCCGAAGGAGAAGTTTATGTTTTCATCAAAAAATCCGATTCGCTAATTTTATGTTTTCTCCCGAAAAATTGTGCATGTGTGTGTGTGTGTGTGCGTGTATGTGAACAGATTTTTTGCCGTAAATCGACGTTTTCTCCAAAAGGGATGGACCAATTTTAAAAATTTCGATGTATCTTGATGCGGACTATCGTTTGTCAGTTTTGTGCGACGATCGGTAAAGCCGTTTCTTTGTAAATCGCAAAAAATGAAAAAAATTTCTACGTTTTAGCCCTCAGTTCTGAATCGATTATGAAAATTCAAAAACCGTTCGAAAGATATTGGTTGGGAATCGTGCTGATTAGTTTTTGGTAAAAATTAGCCGGGCCGTTTTCTTGTAATAAAGTATTTAAAAAAAAAAAATGACGATTTTTATGATTGTTCGACGGTAGATACCATAGTCTTCTAGATCATACTGAAATATCACGGCCCTACGACAAGTCGTTTAATTTTGAAAATTCGTTTCTCAAAATTAGATCTTTCATCGATATTTTCTCAAAAAACGCCTGAACCGATTTCAGAAATTTAAATGCTATTTGATGTATCTCAATGAGGACTATTGATTCTCAGTTTTGCGCGACGATCGGACGAGCCGTTTCTTTGTAATTTGAACCATTTTTATGAAACTTTCCAGCGATAGATATCGCGGTCTTATAGAACATATTGAAATATTATTAAGTAGCTTAGTTTTAAAAATTCATCAATGTTTGAAAAAAATATTATAGTAAAAATTTGTGTCAAAAGTCGCTTGGTTTAAAAACCATTCAATTCCTATTGATAGGGAGACGTGCTGATTAGTTTTTGACAAAAGCAGGACCAGCCGTTACGAAGATACGGAGCAATGAGTGCAGAAAATACAAATCGAGTTTTTGAGAGAACGGAGTATCGGATTTGAATGATCTAAAAAACATTAAATTTGTAATGATTGGGAGAAGAGGTGATTAGTTTTTGGCAAAGACAGGCCCCGCCATTTCGAAGATACAGAGCTAAATGTGCAAAAAATGGCAATTTTTGAGTGAACTAAGCGTCCGATTTAAATGGTTCGACGAAACTTTCTGCTTGTTTCAACAAAATAATTGCTTTTGGAAAAAAAATTTTGTTTCCAATTTTTTTTTCAAAAAATATTTTTGTAATTTTGGATTAAAAAATTCAAAAAAATACCCAGGCTAAGCACAGTCCAAGCGCCACTCCGGTACAAATGTTTACTCAAGTGCGTTTAGACTGTATATTCTGTAGCTCTTTTCCAATTTTTTGAAAACTATTGAAAAATGTGAAAATGCCGCCAAGCTAAGCACAGTATAAGTAAAAATGTCGTACAGAATTATTTGCAAATGCGTTTAGACTGTGACTATACGGGACCACTTTTCCAATTTTGTGTAAATTAGGCAACTATTTTTTTTTTTTAAATTGAATTCGAAATAAAATGACGATTGGTGTTAATGTTCTAGAGATAAATTTGATTCATTTACGATTTACATTTGATTTGCTCAGATATAACAAGATAGCAAAAATAAAGAAAGTTACAGTATTTGTAATAATATTTTTAAAAGCGTTCAAAATTTCTCGATTATTTCATTACGGCACGGAAAGTTCCAGCAATTTGCCTTAAGACACGATGCTATACACCACTAGTTTACCTTGGCATTGGTCTATCGACAGGTTCCCATCTCAAATGTACAGGCTGATGACTTCCAGTGGCAGAGCACAAAATTTGAGCATCCTGTCCCAGTTTCACGATTTGTTTCGAGGGTTCCAGATGAAGTCTCAAAGGTTCTGTTAAAACACCAAACATCAAAACCACATCGACCAAAAGTTTATTATCCATTTTATTTACCGTATACTGTAAGCCTGGTATGCACCCTAAACTTAGGCTCTCCTCTGGGTCCTGTACCAACGCATTCATAGTCACCAGCATCCTCAAATTGCAACATTTGCAGAGTCAAGACACCATCGTACTGGGCATGATGAGCTGGTAAGGGACGTCCATCTGATCTTTGCCAACGGACCATCACATGTGGAGATCCTACCAGAAAAAAACAAATAAACCAATAAAACTACAACCCATGCTAAAACTAATTTGTGTCTATAATTTTTATTTTTATTCACCGACTGTTCTGCAGGTCATATTAACAGTTCCATTCAAATATCCTTCGAGTTCTTGTTGTTGCATTGGTGGTGGGTATGGTTCAGATCCTCCATGGGGATAATGTTCATCTGGTCTGTAATTGGGATCTTCTGGTCGATAGTAGGGATCTTCTGGTCTGTGGTGAGGATCTTCTGGCCTGTGGTGAGGATCTTCAGGTCTGTGATGGGGATCTTCTGGTCTGTAGTGAGGATCTTCTGGTCTGTAGTATGGATCTTCTGGTCTGTGGTGAGGATCTTCTGGTCTGTAATATGGATCTTCTGGTCTGTAGGGGTCGTATCCATGTTCAGGTTCGTGTGGGATTTCGTTGTCTACAAGAATTTGAATTACATGCAAAATTAATCTTTAGAGTGAAAGTTTTAAATTTTTATAGTAAAAAAAAAATATTTTGTGATATAGTCAGTACATGCAACAGATATTTGTAAATGTTATTTCTATAATAGTAAAAAAATAAGAACATGCATATACACTAGTTTACTTAGTTTCATGCTAATAATTTGTATAAAATTAATTAATATAAAGTATTAATGCTACGAAACAAAAACGTAACTAAAGAGAAGTTATTCAAATTCAGTCTCTCGGATAAAATATGTTTAGAAATATTTTTTATAAAAATGTAAAATATTATATATTTAAAATTTTCCCCTCTTCGCGAACAATTGATAATAATTTAAAAATATATATTTTCACAGAAAACGTTAAAAATACGAAACAAAAACGTAACAAATGGAACGCTATCGAACGTAATAATTAATTTTAACTTCAAAGCTTTTTAATTTTGTTAGAACGTTTTAACTTTGTAAAACATATATTGGAAACGATTGATAATAATTTAAAAATATATGTATTCAAAAATAACGTTAAAAATACGAAACAGAATCGTAACAAATGGAACTTAATTGCAAATAATAATTTATTTTAACTTTTTTTTATTAATAAATTATGAGAAGTAAAATTTATCGAATTGAATAAATTGTATTATGATAAATTTTATAGCATATTGGGAACATTTGATAATAATTTAAAAATATATATTTTCACAAAAACGTTAAAAATACGAAACAGAAACGTAACAAATGGAACGCAATAATTTATTTTATCTTCAGAATTTTCTATTGAAAAATCGTAATTAGAAGTAAAATTTATCAAATTGAATAATTCGTATTTGGGTAAATTTTATAGTATATAAAACATATATTGGAAACGATTGATAATAATTTAAAAATATATATTTTTACAAAAAACGTTAAAGATACGAAACAGCAACGTAACAAATGGAACTCTATTGAACGTAATAGTTTATTTTAACATCAGAATTTTTTTGATTAATCGTAATTAAAATAAAATTTATCTAATTGGATAAATTGTATTTGGATAAATTTTATTGTACATAAAAATCACGACAAACGTTAATGTAACAAAAACGTAACAACGTATAAAATGCCTAAATTTAATATATTAATTAAAATTGAAATTATTTATTTTGTGTTAAAAAGTATTTAAAAAAAACTTTAAAGCATTATAAACAGTGATGTGACGAAACAAAAACGTAACAGGAAAACATTAAAAATGATAAACGTTAATGTTACGAAACAAGAACGTAACTGGAATTAGAACTAAAATTGCTCAAATTTATTTGATTAAATTGTCTCTAGTTAAGAATTAATTTTATTTATTTTAATATATAAATTAAACTATTGAATATAAAGAAATAATATAAAGCATGGGGATATTAAAAAACTAACAATATACTATAAACATTATAAATGTTAATTTTACGAAACAAAAACGTAACTAGAAGCAAAATTACTCAAATTATTTTTTTTAAACTCAAATTAAACTAACTCTATCTAAAGATCTAATTGGATATCAATGTATATACTTAATATTAAAAAAAACAATATAAAGTATAAAAAATATTAAAAAATTAAAAGCAAACTTTAAGGTATGATAAACATTTATGTTACGTAACATGAGCGTAACTAAAACGTTTTAGTTACGCAAGTTAGTTAAGTTAAGTAAAATTACTCAAGTTTATCTAAATAAACAATCGTTATTCAAGTATTAATTGTAATTATTTTAATATATAATATAATAAGAAATATAATTAGAATAAAATAAATAAAAATTAAATATATTAAAAACAATATATAGTATGAAAAATATAAACAGAACTAGAGCAAACTTTAAGGCATGCAATTAAAGTTATAATTATAAAAAGTTAATATGTTATATTGTAAGTTAATAAAGTGCATAATTTAATTTAATTAAGAGTGTTTAATTAATACATATCAATTACCTGATGCGTTCACTGCATTTTGTTTTTTTTTTGCATTTTTGTATATAATTTTGATCCAATTGTGAAAAGCAGCATAAAAGGACAAAACACATTATTAATATTAAAAGCATAACATGACAACACAATTAGTAACAAATAAATAAATTATATATGATATATGTATATTTTCTTCAATGCAAAAACATTGGTAAAAAATTGTAAGCAAGATTCATTGAAAATCTTTAAATAAAAAAAATTGGGAAGTTTTTTCTTTGATGCTTCATAAAAACTGTTTGATGATTTTATATAAACGGTTAGCATGAGCATAACATTATGCATGAGCATGAGAACATATTATTATTTGAAAAATGTTGGAACAAATGTAACTTTAATTCTGAATAAAAAATAAAAATTTAATATTAAATATTAAATTAAAAACAATATGTAAAATAATAAAAATTATAAATTAATTCACTTTGAAGACTAAAGTCCAGGAACTGATTTTATCGATCAATCTAAATGGATCCACATCAATTATTATTTTTTCCTTAAATTTTAAATTAAACCCCGATACATGCTTCATATCAATTTTCTCATCGTATAAAATTCTGCATGCCCATAATAGTCATCCTCAACTTACCGTGGTTGTCAGGAATATCACCTCTCCTCGGTCCTACGATAAGCCTAATGGTACGAGAATCGCTTCCTGCAGCATTATGAGCAGTGCACACAAACTCTCCTTCATCAGAAGGCTGAGCAGACCTGATTATCAACTCTACACGATCACTGATAAAAAAAAAAAAAAAAAAACTAGTTGGTTTGGTATTTAGCCTTGAGGCAAGTTACATGAACTTCCCGATATGTTTAAATAATCGACTTAATCAATAAAAAATAAATTAATTTATGAGTCATTAAAAGTATTTCGAGTGGATTTATTACACATAATTGAAACGAATGAACACTTTGACTCGGAGTATTTTCTAAAAGCAAATTTTATATAATTGAACCAGTTTTCGGGACTTTAATGGTTTATTATGTTCAAGACCAAGTACTCTATCATTATACCAAGTTAATAGTCTAATTTTAATTTTAACAAATCTCAAAAGAACTACTTATTTTCTCAAACTTTGATAAATTTTTAAAATCAAACTATTTGTCGTAAGGCCGTAATATTTCAGTAAGTTCTATAAGACCATGATATATATCACTAAAAAATCCATAAAAATCGGCTTAAATTTTTTTTTCAACAATTAATTACAAGAAAACGGCTCGGTAGATTTTCACCTAAAACTAATCAGTATCATCATTCCCAACTAATATCTTTCGAACAGTTTTTGATTTTTTAAAATCGATTCGGTAGAATGAGCTTAAATGTTGACAAAAAGTTTAACACTTTTTTTCAAATTATAAAGAAACGGCTTGGCAGATCGTCGCACAAACGATAGTCCTCACCGAAATACATCAAATGGCTTTTAAATTTCTGAAATCGGTTAAGGCGTTTTTGAGAAAACGTCGATCAAAGATCTCATTTTGACAAATGTCAATAAAACGATACCAATTTTTGCAAACTTTGACGAATTTTTAAAGCTAAACGAGTTGTCGTAGAGCCGTAATATTTTAGTATGACCTAGAAAACTATGGTATCTACCGTCAAAAAAAAATCATAAAAATCGTCGAAATTTTTTTTTTAAAAACTTTATTACAAGAAAACGGCCCGGCCGATCTTCACCAAAAACTAATCAGCACGATTCCCAACCAATATCTATCGAACGGTTTTTGAATTTTCAGAATCGATTCAGAATTGCGGGCTAAAACGTGGACAAAATTTTTTTCACTTTTCTGCAATTTACAAAGAAACGGCCCGGCAGAAACGATAGTCCTCATCGAGATACATCTAATGGCTTTTAAATTTTTGAAATCGGTCCAGCCGTTTTTGAGAAAACGTCGATTTACGGCAAAAAATCTGTTGGTGCACACGCACACACACACACACACACACATACTTTTTCCAAATTTGGTCTCATTCGATTCAGAATGGCTTGAAACGTCGAGAAAACATAAAATTAGCGAATCGGATTTTTCGATGAAAACATAAATTTCTCCTTCGGGAAGTTAATTAAAAAAATTATGTAAACATTCATCAATTTGGTATCTATCGATTATATTTACCCTGCTTGATGTCTCCTCTCATGGTCCTCTTCGACTCTAGCATTGGGATGATGTCTCCAGCGAAGTTCTGGTCTGGGACTTCCTCCTTGGGATGTGCAGGTTAAAGTCACAAGTTGTCCTGATGAGACTGTGAGTTCCCGTTGATCAGGGTAGATGACTACCCTTGGTGGTTCTTGGACTTCTAGGGAAATTGAGGCTTCGGTTGATCCTGCAGCGTTGGATGCTCTGCAAAGGTAGGATCCTGCGTCTTCTGGGACTATACTGTGCAACCTGGTAAAGAAATACAAAATTTTATTTTATTTACTAGTGTCAAACCCAATATACACATTTATGTAATGATAAATTATAAATTATATATTTATGATAGTATTAAAAATATTTATCATGTTTGAAAACAATAATGTAATTAAAGTCATGACATGATCGGGTTGTCATTCTAATTAGCATTTAGAAATAAACATTCATTAGAGAAATTAAGTAATTGCTGATTAATAACTTCTATAATATTCGTTCACACAGTGGATTATGTTAAACAACGCCTAAACAAATATTGTTTTTGCAAATTCACTCATCCTGTAATAATTGTGTTTGAAAAAGTTCATGTAATTAAAATTAACATACATTCATTGACTGTTAGTGTTTTTTTACTTTTTCGCTGACGATATAATCTCATTCTTTGAACAGCTGTAATATCTGTCTTGCCTAAAAAATTGAAGCCATACTTTTATATTTGTTTTCTTTATCAAGCCCTGCACATAGCTTGATCTATGAATCATTTTCTTATGTGAACGTTAATGCAATAATCATCATTAATATTACGAGGTAATAAATTAACCATATTATTAACGTCAACAGGCACATTTATAATTTGTCCAAATATTCCAAATTGTCCATTTGCATGTCGCAATCGTCTAATTTGCATGAAACACATCCTAGGTGAAATTAACCTTTCAGATACACTATCTAAGTTTAGGTAGATAATTTGGTATAGGTGAAAATACAAAACCCGTTAAATTTACACAAAGTGGGAATTTTACCCGAATTTAATGCCTTTCGACAAGTTTGACATCGCACCTGATTATTTGAATCAATATTCAGAAAACCATTATTAAGAATTTGTTTTTGAGCATCATTTGAAATTTTTAAGTAACTTTGAAACCAAAGTCGATCACACACAAAGCATACATAGCCAAAGCTATCACTTGTAAATTGTTTTTCAAACAATTTTCGTGCATTTCTAAACAAATTGAAGTCTTTATATGGAAGTTCAAATACTTCATTTGACTCTTGCAAAAGATCAGTTCTTTTTACACTATATACACATTATATACAGAATCATTAATTTGCAGTTGACGTGATGTAGTTGCTGTATCAGAAAAAGTAACAGCAGTACTTTCATCTAAAAAGATAACTGAATAATATGTTTAAAAGTGAATAGTTGAAGCGTTTTTCAGGAGTCAAATAGCGAAAAAAGATTCTTACTTATGTCAATGTTGTTAAAATTAACATCTAAATTGATACCGGGCTCAAGATTTTCTAATAAATTGGCAGTAACTGACTAACGATACAGTTTCAATCTTTGAGCAACTATACTATCTGTCTTGCTTATAAAAATGAAAATAAAATTCTCCATTTTAGTAATGATCTCAAAGGTATATAGTAACCTCGAAAAACTCGAATAATACAAATTACTTCAATAAACTTACATTTCTTACGCAGCGCAGATTTTTCAAATGTTTCATTATTTGCGATTATTTGCACTACAATTATTTATGAGGAACGGGATAAAATATTCTTCCGATCCTGACATTTTTATTAACTCACTTATTTAACCTTAAAAAGTTTTGACATAACACCGGATATTTGAACAATATGCTTCACGTTTTCGGTGACGTATGATGGACGTATGCACGTATAAAGTCACGCATCAGAATCGACCCGTATAGAAATCATATCATCGAGAGCGAATGACTCTCACTTGACCTTGCCGTAACAATTTCCGTTGCATTTGTCGGATTTACACCCACGTCGCGCCGAAAGAAGTTTTATTGCAAAAATTCTATTGATGCTGGTGTCAATTATCCCTTACCTCAATACTCCTGGTTGGATTATTTCAGCATTGTGTCCAAGTGGCCTTCGATCTACTCGAGTCCATTCGACAGTTGGTTCAGGGGTTCCTGCAGTTACTTGACATTGCAGCATTGCTGATGATCCTACTCTGGTTAAGTGTGAACCGCCTTCTGGATGGATCAGAATTTGAGGTAACTCCAAACCTGAATAAATAAAAATTTAGACGTTTACAAATAAGCAAGTTTTTCGTGTATGTATAGTATTACTGACGTTCAACATAGACTTCTGTTGAGTTCTGGGCACTGACACCATCAGGATTTACAGCCAAGCATACGTAAACACCACCGTCTCTAGGTTGGCAGTCATTGATATGCAAGTATGGTCCACGTTGGTATACGTTGTTTGGCATTGATTCTCCCAACTGAAAGATCAAACAAATTTTATGATGTATCTTGGTAGTGTTGATAATTTTGGTCTTACCTTGGTCCATTTAATATTGGCTTGCGGACTGTTTTTAACTTCGCACAAGATCTCCAAAGATTGTCCTTGGTGTACAGTGTGTCTTGGTGCTCCGACCCATACGATAGGAACTTCTGGTCTTGGTCTTGTTTGGCTTGGTGGATAATGAGAACCTGAATCAATACCAGATCCACTCTCATTGTTAATAACAACAGTCACATTAGCTTCCAAATATCTGCCTTCGTGCGTCGTTTGCGAACAAAGGTATAATCCTGAGTCATCTGGTCTTGCATCTCTGATCACAAGAACACCATCTCTACTATCTTCAGCGTAATGTGGCAAGTTGTCGTTGTATCTGTGAAAACAAAAACCATGAACCCCCAAACCCTGAAATAAAGCCTTACAATTTTTCATACCTGTGCCATTCGTAAGGTCTGCCCTGCTCACCACCTCTGCACCTCAGAGCGACTTCCTGGACAGGTCTGCCTCTGTATTCCGGCCTGTCAATCCACAAAACAATGGAACCTTCACTTGAACCTCCTGAAGGAGCCCTTTGCACTTGGACTTGGGTAACAGCAGCATGGGTACCAGCTGAAGAAGATGCTGTGCATCTGTATCTACCAGAATCATGTGGGGTTGCTCCTGAGATTATCAACTCGTTTTCAAAAACTTGCACCTTGAAAAAAATATGGTTAAAAACAACTTAGTAGTAAGGATTGATGTGTTGGTTTTTAAGTACCGATGGGTTAAATGGTAAGCCGTCATCCCTGCTCCAGTGTATGGATGGTCTAGGGTTGCCTTGAACGTCACACCTTAATCTTGCTGATTCGCCTTCGTTGACGTACAAATCTGCTGGTAAACTTACGTGTGGAGGTGATCCCTGATTACCTAAGAACAAGTACAAAGTTATGTAAAGTCTGGCAAAACTTCCAAAAGTTTTAGCAGTCCAAGTAACGTATTTCCATTACCTGGTGCGTTAACAATTTCTGCAGACAATCCTTTATGCAAGCAATCACAAACCAAAACAATATTATACCAAAATTAAAATTTGCACCAAGATTCATTGTCTACTTACCAACTTGGACGGTGGCAGTATCAGTAACAATACTGTAAGAATCAGAAGCTCTGCAGACGTAAACTCCGGCATCATAAACCCGGACATCAGTGATTACCAACATTCCTCTCCTATCGTCCATGGCACGATCTCTTGGCAAATCTCCACCTTGTTTTTCCCAGGTCACAACCAGAGGAGACTATAGAAGAAATTCAAAATTAACTAAAGTCCAAAAGTCTCTGGTGTATTGTTTTTTTTTCTTACGTGATCTGTGAGGGATCTGGCGTTACAATGTAATCTGACTGTAGAACCAGCTTCTACAATTTGCAGAGTTGGTTCAGAAATGTACACAGTTATTGTTGGTTTGCCTGGTGGTGGTGGAACTTCTGGTGCTGGTGGTAGAACTTGGTTGTCGCCTAAATAGATATAGAAATTAGTTATAAACTTGGATATATGTGCAGGACAATATTGGAAGTATAAGTTTGTGGTAAGCTTTGTGAAGTGTTCATGCAAAGTTAAAAAAAAAGTGAGAAAAAAAATAAGAAAAGCATGCGTGAGGGTTGATAGGAAAAGGAAGTGTTGAATAGATAATTTGCTGAAGATGGTTATACACAATTTTTTTCATTTTCCCGAAAAAATAGAACAAGATTATCAGAAGAGTATTTCAATTATCATAGATCCCAACATTCAACAGAGAAGTTTCCCAGAAATCTCATCTTTAATTTGCACACCTAAACGTCTCCAACTACCATCTGGATTTTCAATCCAACCAGGATAACCATCCATTCTTAATTTTCCATAGGCATTTTTTCCATCATAGGTTCCTCTTCTGGACCAGGAAGAATCAGGATAGCCAAAAGATCTGTATGGTTGTTGACGTGTCCAGTTGGCCGAATTTTGGTAATTCGGGTACCAAGAAGTATAATTGAGATTATTAGATCTGTTATATTGATTGTCTGGGTAACTGGGCCGATTTGGCCAAGATGGTCGATTGCTTGTATTGGATTGGTTGTAGTGAGTGTCCAGCCAGTCTGATCCAGTATATGGAGGTTGTCGTGGTCTATCTGGCCATCTCGGTTGACTTGAAGATCGATTTTGATGAGTGTCGAACCAGCCTGGACGACTATACGAGGGTTGATGCGACGTGTGGTTGTACTGGTTTGTCCATCGAGGTTGACTGGTCCAATTAGTATGACCAGTAGATCCATTATCATCGCCATAAAAATTCAACCAGTTAACAGGACTTCGTCCCCAATTATGTCGACCTTCAAGTGGCACAACCTTGCTTCCTATAGTGCCCAATATTTCACCATTATCTTCACTTCTGACAATGCAAGTGACAATTCTAGGGAACCAAGTGACAACCGTAGGGTAGTCCCTGTAAGCACCATGAGCCCAGCCTTCATTCGGTGCAGGATTGAAGTATTGCAGATTGTTCGTGGCCCATCTTCTACCTTCTGGTTGAGGGTCTGAAAATTCGATTCTGTGTCGACGATCTGATCTGTACCTGCAGGTGAACCTGACAGGAGTTCCTGCAGGTTTGGCAACGTGTCGAGGCAACAGTTCCATGGATAAACCACCTAGAAATTGTTGGTGACCAGGAGGAAGGGGGGGTAAAGGATTGTGAGTAAAATGAGTTATGCAAATTAATATAAGCATAAATAATAATGTGGTAAGCATATTTGCAGCAAAATAATTAAAATCAGCAGGTTGATTTATATTTAAGGAGGTATTCTAGTGTAGAATTTCAAAAAAATCGATTTTTTTAACTTCCCGTAGGGTAAGTTATTGTAATGGGCCGAAAATCGGAATTGAAAATTTTTACATTTCTCGACGTTTTGAAGGTTTCTGAACATTTTGGCATACCTCAGAAAAAATGGATGTGTGTGTATGTGTATGTGTATGTGTGTGTGTATGTATGTATGGATACAAATTTCCAGTCACGTTTCCGGGCGCACGGATCAACCGATTTGAATGGTTCAAAAAACATTCGATTCCTATCGATAGGGAAAAGAACTGATTAGTTTTTGGCAAAGGCAGGTCCAGCCGTTCCGAGGATACGGAGCAAAGAGTGCAGAAAATAGAAATCGACTTTTTTGAGAGAACAGAGTATCCGATTTGAATGATCTAATAAACATTCAATTAGGAGTGATTAGGAGAAGTGTTTATTAGATTTTGGCAAAGGCAGGCCCAGCCATTTCGAAGATACGGAGCTAAATATGTAAAAAGTGACAGTTTTTGAGAGAACTAAGCGTCCGATTTGAATGATTCAAAGAACTTTCTGCTTGTCTTAACAAAATAATTGACTCTGGAAAAAAAAAATTATTTCAATTCAATTTTATTTATTTTTTTTTTTTTTAATTTTTTGTGTATCGAAAATAATTCAGATTTTATTTTCAATTCTGACTATAGTTCTAATATACTTTAAACAAATAATTTCAACTTTGCAATTCAGTTTATATAATTCTTATAAATATTAGACAATATGTTACAATATTTATAATAATCTATTTGAAAACATTCAGTATTCCTCGAACATTTCGTTACGGTACGGGAAGTTCTAGCAATTTGCCTTAAGGCACGATGCCACCCACCCCACTAGTTTTTGTTTCATTTTGTTAAAGTTTAACTATCTAAAAATAAGGGTACGAGAAGGTTTTAAAAGTTTGAATTATTTTCGGAGATATAGGCATTTTACTGACCCGATCTCCAAACTGGTTTGCCAAGGTCTAATCGGACAAAAGGCATTAGGAAGTCATTAGACCAATTTAAGACAGTTTATCGTCAGATGAATTATTAATTCGATGTTTAGGTTCAGAAACTCAGAACAATAATGAATCTCTAAACTCGTTGATTTGGATTTTCGCGCCAAAACATATTCATTCCCGATCTCGGGTAATTGAAAAGCAACATTTATTGCTGTTTGCAGTGAAAGTTTCTTTCCGATTTTAAAAATGATGACCCTTATGGTAATGCAAATTGGGCCAGAAACTCATTTATTTGTCCTAAGACGAGACAATGAACGATCTGAAATAAGTATATCCAACACTTCAAAGGAGGCTAGAACTGCTCGATTTGAAGAGAAAAATGCAGAAAATAGTTTTTTTGAAGTAGAAGAAAGTCCGATGCATAAAGCAGGAATAGCAGATTAAATAAAAAAATCATGACATATCGTTTTATGACTTTGACAGCAAAAAAACTTCACGCAAAACTTTAAATGCGTTTTTAGTCCAGTCATTTGGTGCAAAAAAGGCTGTTGCCGGTACAGTACTCCAGGAATTCTGAAAATTGGTAATCTTATGGACTTCGAGGTGCTATTTACAAAAATCAACTTTTCCATCTCAAATTTGAACGGCAAGTTGCCGCCATATTGGAAAAATGGCGTCAAACTTCAGATTTTTTAAAATAACTTCTTTCTGGCTGATTCTACGATAAAAGTATCTATGTACGAATTAAACTAGATAAAATTTCCCACAATTCTTTAGAAAATCGTTTTTTTTTAAAATTGATAGTTTTAGAGTACGGCCGCCTCAAAGTCTTTGCTGCTCTCGCCGTAGTATCAAATCTCTCCATATATGGCTGATTTTTTAACACTTCAATGGCAAAGTAGCTATAAGTAAGTAACTTGAAGTGTTAAAAAATCAGCAAAAAAAAGAAAAAGATTTTAATTATTTTATTTCTAGTACTTATTCGCTTAATTTAACATTGAAAATATTTATTTATTGGAGAGAATGTGGTCAAGTTCAAAGTGCTGTCATAAAATATATGGAGAGATTTGATACTACGGCGAGAGCATGTAATAAATATAAAATGAGGCGGAGAGTACTAAGATTTTGAGGCGGCAGTACTCTCAAACTATCAATTTTACAATAAAACGGTTTTCTAAAGAATTGTAGAAAATTTTATCTAGTTTAATTCGTACATATGTACTTTTGTCGTAAAATAATCCAGAAAGGAGATATTTCAAAAAAGTTGTTTTTTGAAGCCATTTTTCCAATATAGCGGCAACTTGCCGTTCAAATTTGAGGTGGCAAAGTTGATTTTCGTAAAGAACACGTCGAAATCTATAAGATTACCAATTTTCAGAATTCCCGGAGTACTGTACCGGCAAATCGACCAAATGACTGGACTATTTTCTCAGAACAGACTTTTTCAGTACTGTTGACACAATTTCTCGAGTTCTACTCGACCGATTCACTTGAAATATTCAGAGAGTCTTTTTTATAGACCTATCTGTAGCCCGAACAAGCATCATCCCCAAATTCCATTTTTACTATTAAAAAAAATGAAAAACTCAGAAAAACAGTAAAAAAGACACTTTTTTTTCAACCAGTCGCCAATTTGTAAACAAAATTTTTTTAACTCGTCGCTAGTTCTGGCGATTGCGACATCATTGTAGATTAATAATCTTTTTATTGCTTTTATTTGGGATAGCTAGGAAGGCTGAAATCATGTCAAGACTGAGGTGCCAATTTTTTGAGACCCCCCACTTCATCAGCTGCTAGTTTTTTCAATTTTCAACTTTTTTATTTTTTAGTTTTTGTATTGTATTTTAATAATAATAATAGGCAAGCGGTAAATAATGGATAGTAAAAACATTCATTGCTTTCTTTCACGACACTTTAGAAGTGACCTAAAATTCATTGCTCTACACTAGAATACGCCTTTAATTTAGTGCTAATAATTTTACTGGATCAAAATATTGAAGCCAACACCAAGTATCAGCCATCACCGAATTGCGAAGCAATTTCTAAATTCAATATGATATTTTTAGTCTTAATTATTTAATTCATTTTACCGTATACATCACATCTTTCACCACTGTATCCATGACTGCAATGACATCTAACTCTGCCATTTTGTTCAGCCGAGCAAGAATCACTGTTGGGTCCACATGGACACTGTCTGCACATTGTACCATCTCGATAATATCCTGTAGAACAACTCTACAAAAACCAAAAACACAAATCAAAACCTGTATTACCCAAACTGTTGCACACAACTATATATAAGGTTGTCAAATATCTCCCTTCCGCCTTTTTGTATTATAAACCAAGAGCAAAAAGCGGAAGGGAGATATTTGACAACCTAATATTTTACTACCTGGCAACTGGTTCCTTGATATCCAGCAGGACATCTGCAAACTTCGACTGGCCTATAGCTGGTTCTTCCAGTAAATCTGGTAACGGCTTGATCCATCTTAACATCACTAATACAAGCTGTTCGCATACGTTCAGAAGTGGTAGCACGTACTAAAATTACTTCTAAATTGGTCAAAGCACCCATGAGATCAGATCTGGACGCAGTTCTTGGGTAATGATGGGTCATTGTGCGCCACTGAGCAGCTACCAAGGGTACATCATAGGTCTAGAAACAATAAAAAAGAGTGCGCGTAAGGATCACACACGATTGAAGTAAAATTTATTTGCTACTGTACAAAGTAGCAAAGTTAAGTTAAGTAAAAATAAATACATCATATAACAATTTTGAATAATGTTTATTAGTAATATGGTAACACTCGTGATGCACACATTTATTAGTGCCAAGTCAACCATTGCACACATTTCTATAATGATAAATTATAAATTATATATTTATGATTGCATTAACCCTCCGTCGGTCGGATATTTTTTCACCTTCGAACGGTCGGAAAGGTCTGGCTGGACCACCATTCATTTTACATGCATTTATATGGGATAAATGAGTTTTTGGTGTCTTATGTATTAACGATTATATAAAAAAATCAAGAAATATAAAAAAATCGTTGCTTTTTTTGTTAATTTTTCTGTTTTGAATCAATGAAAAACAATATTTATTCTTTTTCGGCGCCTTTGAAATGAATGTGTGCATTACTCATCCGATTTTCAGTGTTTGCGATTACCAATAAGTTTGGTAGGTTTTCAAGAAACTCTCGTCATGAAAATACTAACATTCATGTTAGAACACATAGCAAAGAATATAAACAACGCAGTTTGAATAGAAAACACCATGAAAAAGCGTATATTTCATACAAAATGTATGGGTGGTCTAGACAGACCTTTCCGTCCGTTCGAAGTATAAAAAAGTTAATATCCTTATAATTATCCTTCTGTACATTTTTTCGTCCTGATTTTTTCATTGATCGGCAGCTAATGAAATTTTAGGAAAAGTCAAGAAATTTCAGGTCGATAGGATTACTATAAGTATTTTTTTTTTAATTGAAGTCGAAAAAGTCTGGCCAGACCACGCCGACCGACGGAGGGTTAAAAATATGAATAATATTTACAAACAATAATGTAATCAAAGTCGTACTTGAAATATGACATGATCATTTTAAAGTAATTGCTGATTAATAAATTCTATAATATTCATTCACACAGTGGATTATATTAAACAACGCCTAAACAAATTAACTCATCCTGTAACAATTGTGTTTGAAGAACTTCATATAATTAAAATTAACATACATTCATTTACTGTTTGTATTTTTTACTTTTTCGCTGACGATATAATCTCATTCACAGCTGTAATATCTCTCTTGTCTAAAAAATTGAAGCCATACTTTTATATTTGTTTTATTTATCAAGCCCTGCACATAGCTCGATCTATGAATCATTTTCTTTTTTATGTGAACGTTAATGCAATGATCACCACCATCAATATTACGAGGTAATAAATTAATCATATTATTAACATCAACAAGCACATTTATAATTTGGCCAATTATTCCAAATTGTCCATTTGCATGTCGCAATCTTCTAATTTGCATGAAACACAACCTAAGTTAAATTAACCTTTCAGATACAGTATCTAGTTTAGGTAGATAATTTAGTATAGGTGGAAATACAAACCCGTTAAATTTACACAAAGTGGGAATTTTACATGAATATTATATTCAGAAAACCATTATTAAGCATTTGTTTTTGAGCATCATTTGATATTTTTAAGTTTCTTTGAAACCAAAGTCGATCACACACAAAGCATACATAGCCAAAGCTATTATTTGCAAATTGTTTTTCAAGCAATTTTCGTGCATTCCTAAACAATATGATGTTTTTATATAGAAGTTCAAATACTTCATTTGACTTTTGCAAAAAATCAGTTCTTGTCACATTATCAGTCACATTATATACAAAATCATCAATTTGCAATTGACGCAATGTAGTTGCTGTATCACAAAAAGTAACAGTAGTACTTTCATCTAAAAAGATAACAAAATAATATGTTTAAATGTGAATAGTTGTAGCGTTTTTCAGGAGTCAAATAGCGAAAAAGATTCTTACTTATGTCAATGGTGTTGACATTAGCA